GGGGTGGGGGGTGTTTCGGACAGTTTTATATTAAATGAACCCTTAGTTCCAAGCCGTTGGATGATCAAAATCCAACGGCTGTGATTGGATTGAATTGAAACGGCGTCGTTTGGGTTAAGACGGGGTTGGACCGGGTAAGGTTATTTGGGCTTGGGTTAATTTGGACGGGTTCTGGGTAATTTTTTGGGCTGGGCGGTTAAGAAGGGTATTTGGGCTGGGGAAAGTTGGGTCAATTTCGAATTTCTGCCCAAATGTTTAAACCCTTTTCAAAAAATCATTTTTCTCTCTTTCTCTTTTTTTAATTAATGAAATCCTAAGATAAAAATCCTAAATTAATTTAAATTGTAAAATTAGACTGATTATCTAATTACAAAAATTATAAAAGTTATTTAATCCTAAATTAAAAGAGAAAAAATCAATAATCTAAAAATAAAAGGAAAAAAAATGTAGAAATGGGTCATTTTTGTGATTTTCATTTTTAATAAAGCAAATAATTAATTAATTAATCCTAAAACTGTAAAAACAAACCTAAATGCCGTGCATGGTATTTTTCATGATTTAAATAAAAATTAGACATGCATAAAATGCAAATAATTAGATAAGAATTCTACAAAATTCCTAAGAATGGAAAATAATTAACAAAAATTTATTTCCTTGGGATTTTATAGGAGTATTCCATATAGGGCAAAAATCAGATGCTCACAATGGAATCCTTTCGAAATTCATGAATTGGCAATAATTTTTCTTTTTTTGAAATGCAGGACAAATAAGAAAAGAAATCTAATAATAAACAAGAGATTAGCATCTTTATTATTACTGTTAATTGACTTTCCTCCAGGAGATCTTTTCATAGCCCGGTTAGAATCTCTTTCAAGATTTAGCTTTAACAATCTATTTAATTAGTATTCTGTCCATATATAGTCTTCTTAAATCTTGAAATGATTTATTAATTTAATGACCAAATTTCCAACTTATAAAAGCTTAATACACATTATACTACATACACAGGAGACTAGCAGAGAGGTATGCAACTTCTTCTCCGTTTTATTTATTTTTTGTTTTCTTTATGTTATTACTATTATGTTATCATCATTAATCTTTTTTTTTTTCTCATTTATCTTTTAGTTTCACTTTCCAATGGAAACTAATACAAATTGATTCTTCCGTGTGTTTGTGTTTCTTTTCTTTCTGATTTTGGCTTCGTTTAGTTTTTTATGTTCATGTTTTAGCTTCAATATAATATTAATGGAGTTATTGATAAGAAGTTTAGTGGTGTTTACTTAAAAGTTTTTGAAGAAGAGTTGTTAGGACTTATTCGGATTACGAATTTTAGTATACTACTCCTCTTTCTCAAATTATGTGGCGATGTTTGAATTTCGGGAGTCAATCGAGTTTTTCTTTAATGATTTTTTTGTATAAATATATTTTCGAGTGAAATTACAGAAAATGGGGAAGAATAAGAAACTAAGCATATGTTTGTTGGAGGTCACTATGGTTGTTTTTACATTCTTCATAGTAGCTGCAGATTGTCGTCCACACAACGGGTAAGTCTCCGTTTCTTTTGTTTAATTAATTTTCGATCTATAAATTCATTCCGAAAATTATACAGCAAAGTCATATTTTTTTATTTACTACATATGAATGGGCTCAACGATGCTAGGAATGTCAAATTTAGCCAATAAAATATATCTGTCCAACATGTTCGCGTTTGAATTTGGACATAAGCAAGTTAGCCTATCTAATATCTTGCGGAGAAATTCAAAAATAGTCAGATTTACAATTGGTCATTCAAATATAGCCACAGCTTCAAAAATAATCGAAATTTAGCCACTTATTATGTAAGATAAATCTGAATGAAAACACTGCTCAAAATCCGGAAAAATACTCCAGTATAATATATTGGAGTTCCAGTATAATAATTGGTCCAGTATATTATACTTTTCCGCGTGTTGGAGTTCCAGCATAATATGCTGAAGTTCATACACACGTGCACCGATCTCCAGCATATTATGCTAGAACTTTCCGTGTTGCAGCAAAATAATGGCTATTTTTCAATGACTTTGCAAATGCTGGCTATTTTTGAATGATCAGTCCGAAAACTGGCTAGCCCGTGCTATTTTTACAACATCTTGGGACAATTTGAATAGCCAATGTAGTTTGAATTACACAAATAGTCACTTTTGAGCCTTATATTTAGAAGCTGACCACTTCTTCTGAAGTAGACCAGTGGTCAAAAGTTCGAAAATGACCACTTGGCGTAATGTTTAAATTCGACACCTGGTCAAATTCTGAAAAAGTGGTTAACTTCTAAATACGAGACCACAAGCGTAAACAGTGTAAAACCTATAAGAGAACTTATTAAAGCATAAATAAAATAAAAATAAAAATATTGCGTTGATTAGATATAGTCGTGATATAAATTTTTTGTTAGTTGGTTTGATAATTAAACAAATTATAATAACACAAACAAAGAATTGAAAAACAAATTTGAGTTGGACATGCAAAGTAATAAGTGATCTTTACACAAATAACTGGCTATATTTATTGTTTACTTTTTCTCGTTATATACATAGGTTATACATTGTTTAGTCAAAGCGAGTCGATCATCTTAACCTAAGTAAGTTTAAATATTGTTGTGACCATATAATATTGATTCAGCCTGTTTTAACTCATTAAAGTTAAACTAAGCCCGTTTTAACTCGCTCAAATTTAACTCAACCCCGTTAACGTACTGATTTGTTACTTCTTTGTTAGAATTAAAAACAGGGGAAGAATGACAACAATGCCAGCAGTCAAATTGGAGATACAAACAGAAGAAGTAAGTCTACATTTTGTTCTATGTTTACAATTTTACATCTTTAAAAGTTAGTTTATATTTGTATAAGAGGTTGTACTTAATTTTGATTTTATATAAATTAAATGTAATTCCTTCAATTATAATTCTCATTGTTTTATCTTCAGGTGATATTGAGCAATGGCTTCGCAAATATTACTTTATCAAAACCAGATGGCCACGTCACGTGCATATCATATGGTGGGATCGAAAATTTACTATCGACCAAAAACGAAAACGATAGAGGGTATTAAGTTTTAACTTATTGTTACACTAAATATAAAGTTTAAATTTTATTTAATGAAGAAAATAATTAATTATAATAATACTACAATTATGACAATTTCAGGTATTGGGATGTTATCTGGAATAATACTGGACCTCAGACAACTCGAAAAAAGTAATCTGTCTTTATCTCTCTGGTTGTTACCTGTTATATTGTATCGTATTGTTACTTCTAAATCTAATATAATTTTGGTTTTGATTGTTACTTAAATTTTATTATATCATATCTTTAAATCCATCATTACGTAACGACTAAAAGTGTCACTTTATGGAACGGCCGATTTGGTATGGTCCCATCGTTTCCTTATTTTTTTCCTCTCTTCTCGCCCTTCCTTATTATTAAATAATCTTATTTTATCTTTCACCCTATTTTTTTATATAATAACTTTACCTTGTACCTTACTTTTTCTTTATAATAATGTAGGTTTATTCTTCATATTGTTGATGCATGACATCATGAAACGACGACAAATAATACAATCTATTCGAATATTATATACATAAAAAAGATACAGTACAATAATACAATACAATACTATATGATACATTATATACATCAAAACGATACGGTATAATAATACAATATAATACTATATGATACATTATGAAACGATACATAACAACCATCTAAACAAGCTGTAACTAGTTGGTGATTTTTTTTTTTTTTTTTGAAATTTAAGTCCATAAACTTTGGTGTTATTATGCAGGTTTTCAGCAACAAGTTTTGAAGTCATAATAGACAATGAAAATCAGACAGAAATTTCATTTAAAAGAACGTGGAATGCTTCTCAATCTGATGAACCACCCTTAAACATTGACAAAAGGTGAAGTATTTCAATGTAAAAGCTCAATTTTTTCTTTCTTTTTGAAGTTTCTAATTTCGTTTGTAAAAATTATATTTACACTGTTAGAATATAGAAGTTTATCGTTGTATTCGACTATTTTCTAATATTTTAGCGCGCAAATTTCAGGTATATAATGCTACGCGACGCGCCAGGATTTTATACTTACTCAATCGTTGAACGTTTAGAAGGATGGCCACTTTCGTATATCCAAAATCTCAGGATTGTGTTCAAGCTTCAAGAAGACATGTATTTTATCTAAAATTTCTCATCATTAATATAAAATTTTAAAAATTTATTACTGGATTTATATATAAGTAATGAAACTGTATTTTTATGAATAAAAAGGTTTCACTACATGGCTGTCTCTGACGAGAGGCAACGGGTCATGCCAATGGAAGTGGATCGAAAGACTGGCGAGGTGCTCGACTACAAAGAAGCTGTTCTTCTTACTAACCCGACTAATCCAGATTTAAAAGGAGAGGTACATGACCCTATAATTAGCATACACATTTATTTAAAAAAGATTTAACTTATATATACTGACAATATAATTTTTTTTTTTTTTTTTAACGAAAGTCATCAAGCAAATTAACTTTGAAGCTTGTATGGTAGATAACTCAAAAGGATTCAATTGAGAGTTTGAGAAAATATATAGATCATATATTGCATTACCTTCATAGTCATAAATTTTGTTTAAATTAAACCATCAAAAGTTGTGGTTGGGTGGTAATTATATTACTGCTCCATTCTTAACTAGAGGTCTTAGATTCTAGTCAAGTGTTGTAAAAGGCGCGCTTAAAGCACGCTTTAACCCTTGAAGCGAGGCTCAAAACATATTGAGCGCTTATTCGCCTCTCTTTGTGGGCGCTTCAGTGTCACATCAAGGCTCTAAGGCATATATTTCCTTGTTATTGAGTGTAATCCTAAAAAGGCAACACTAAACAATTGATATTTCACATTATCATAATTTTTTTTCAATTTCTTTGTCCATATATTTGTTATTCATGCTTATAATTATTGGTCTTGGACTATATATACATATTTTTACGTTTTCTCCAGTTGCGGCTTTTTTCATTAAAGCGCACGCTTTACTTGCGCTTTGCACTTAAAACCCCAATAGACATTAGAGTTTTTTTTGCACTTTTCGCCTTTGGGGTAAAGAGTATTTTACTCCCAAAGTAGGACTTTCTGATGTAAATCTGATAAGTCAAGCTCCAAAGCTGGTACCGAACACACACTGAGTGAGAGAAAAAAATTTGTTTACTATTTGCATGGCTTGATGTTTACATACACGTATAAAATATGCAGGTGGATGACAAGTATTTCTATACAAATGATAACAAAGACGGTAAAGTTTATGGATGGGTGAGTGCAAATCCTCCAGTAGGATTTTGGATGATTATTCCAAGCAATGAATTTCGTACTGGAGGACCATTTAGACAAGACATTACTACACATGTTGGTCCAACTGTACTTTCTGTAAGTGATGAATTATTGAAATTCTATAATATGTAACACTTCATTTTCTTTCACTTTTAGTCATATATTTTAATCATAATTGCAGGTATTTGTTAGTACACATTATGCAGGAGAGGATTTAGCTATAAAATTTCAACAAGGAGAACCATGGAAAAAAGTTATTGGCCCTGTGTTTGTGTATCTTAATTCAGATGGTTCAGCTAAGGACAATCCCTCCATACTTTGGGATGATGCTAAGAAAAGGGTAATATATTCATCTCTTACTATTTGCTAATACCAATCAGTGTTGTCAAAGGCGAAAAGCGCAAAAAAGCTCTAAGTTATGTTGGGGCTTTAAGCGCAAAGCGCAAATAAAGTGCGGGCTTTAATGAAAAAGACACAAATGTATAAAAATTACAAATATGTATGTGTACTCCAAGACTAATATCTATTAGCATGAATACCAAATATATGGACAAAGAAATTGAAAAAAATATACAATAAAATGAAATATCAATTGTTTAGTGTCGCCTCTTTAGGATTATGCTCATTGGCAAGGAAAGATATGCCTTAGAGTCTTGATGACAACACTGAAGCGCCCGCTAAGCAAGGCGAAGAGCTCAACATGTTTTGACCCTCGCTTCAGGGCTTAAGCGCGCTTTAAGTGCGCCTTTGATAACACTGATACCAATTTGAGAAGTGAATTCAGTTGAAAGAATTCCCTGTCGAATTTACAGATGAATGAAGAAGTCGCAAGCTGGCCCTATGATTTTCCAGTTTCAAAAGACTACAACAAATCTAATCAAAGAGGAACAGTTAGAGGCCAAATATTTGTTAATGACAGGTAGGTCTTTTTTTCCAGTATTCATCCTTTTGTATCTGCAATCAAATTACTTTCAAATATATTTCAAAGTGAAAATACTTGATCTACTTTGGGCATTCAATTTTGAGCAAGAGTAGATTTGTTTGATTAATCTATGGTCATATCCATAGTGAGAGGAGTCCCAACTAGTTGAGATTAAACTAGTTAACCATGTAGAAATAAGTGTGAGATTCAAAGAACTCGTAATTTGTCTTTTAAGACAGATATTTAACATCGAAATAAATGAAGTTATTTAACTGAATATAAAGAATTCATACAGCAAATTTTGATTGATTAACATTCTTTCGTTTTTGTTTTTATAAGATTTATCAGTAAACAAGATGTGCCGGCTTCCAATGCCTATATTGGTTTAGCTCCACCAGGAGATGCTGGATCTTGGCAAAGAGAAAACAAAGTAAGGTTACATGATTTGTAAATTTATTTTTTAAAAAAAAAATAGACGAATTTTTTCAGTTATATAGATTTTTTTTAATAGATTTATTAACTTATTTGTTTCGTTTCATCTCCAGGGATATCAGTTCTGGACTAAAGCAGACGCTAATGGGAATTTTACCATAGAAAATATTATATCCGGTACATATAACTTATATGCAACAGTCCCAGGATTTATTGGTGATTACAAATACACTTCAAATGTACAAGTAACTCCAGGTTATACATTTTTACTCACCCAAATTGTATATTTTCCAAATTCTAAATAATTAATTCGTCAAAATAAGTGTATTCTCTCTAACAGCTAATTTTTTTTCCATTTATTTATTTGTTACCAAATACAGGTTCTAGTATTAAATTAGGGAGTTTGGTGTATAAACCTCCAAGAAAAGGAGCCACACTATGGGAAATTGGAGTGCCAGATCGAACTGCAGCTGAATTCTTTATTCCAAATGCACCTCCACAATATAAAGTTCACAAATACAAAAACAACTCTGAATCAATGTACGTTCCACAGATTTATTTTCCTTGTTAATTTTCAATTCTCAAAGCTCCTTAGAATGGATTATGAACTATTAATTAACTCATCTTAGCTCAAGTAACCTTTGAGCGATAATGATTCACCCAAAAATTAATTCATTCTGACTCACTCAATTTCCCTCCAACAATTCTTTTGGCACTCCTAATTTGTAATTGTAGTTCATTCACTTTCACTTTGGCTTGCAGTTTTCGACAGTATGGTTTGTGGAAACAATACAGTGTTTTATATCCTACAAATGATCTAGTTTACAATGTTGAGACTAGCAATTATTCAAGAGACTGGTTTTATGCTCAAGTTACTAGGTATGCCCTTATAGTTTCTTCTGCCTCTTTGTTCTAAGTCGCGCGCGCATACACACACATATATACCTAGCTCATTTTTTCCTTCCCTAACGATAACTATATCGAATTTTAATAACATTACGCTGCTGGAATTCTTTTGTAGGAATGTAGGAATCAACATATTTAATGCTACCACATGGAGAATTATATTCAATCTTACCAGTGTTGACAAGGCCTCAAATTACACTCTCCAACTTGCTCTTGCTGCAGCTCATGAAGCTGAATTACAAGTATGTACCTTACCCTTGATTTCTTAGTTTTTCTAGTTTTTCATTCGGTGACCGGCATTCGTATCGAGACTCCAACAAATTTAAATTCGCGCCATTATGCGATTTTGATATTTTTGAAGTCTTCAAAGTAATTTATTCAAGCTGACTTACATGATTTTTTTTTTTGGTCTATTTTTTTCCTCAAGGTTCATATAAACGATGAAAAAGCGCAAGAACCCCATTTTACAACAGGATTTATAGGGGGAGAAAATGCAATTGCAAGACATGGTATACATGGATTATATTGGCTTTATAGCATTGGAATACAAGGCAATTTGCTTAGTAAAGGAGCAAACACAATTTTTCTTACACAAACAATAGCTCTCACTCCCTATCAAGGAGTCATGTATGATTATCTTCGTTTAGAAGGACCTCATCAGTGATAAAATGGTCATTCAATTCCTTCATTTTCTAGTTTTTTTTGTGTGTGTGTGCTATACCGCTCGAAATGAAAGGAGAAAAGTGAAGGCGCATTCTTTTTTAACATGAAGCGATCAATTTACCCGGAAAAAAAAAGCAAGTTAATTAACATACATGAATCTAGTACTTATAATACTTAAAATGCAAGTACTATCAACACTAGCATCAAAATTGAACTTTGACAAGATTTTTCATAGTTACTTCATCGATTTTACATTTCTTTTTGGCCCTTGAGAATCTATTTTTTCGGTCTATCCATCCGGTGTTGGGAACGTAACCCTATAGTCGAACATATTTTGATTTGCACTGTGTAGGACCCATTAAAGCAGGAAATGATTCGTATCAAGCGTTCATCCAGTCTCAAAACTCGAACCTAAAATTTTTGATTGCGAGTAGTGGGATCACCTCCACCCCGCCATGCCACTTGGTACTAAAGACAATGGTGAATTATTTGAGATAATTGATGGAGAAAAGGGTAAAAGTAACATGACCTACAGTAAAAACAAAAGAAAAACACATGAACAAAAAAATCGTAAAGAAACTATCACAACAAACTGATAGCTAACTGGACCTTTAGCTAATGTTAGTTAAAGGGACCGTTGTGATGGCTTGCCTTAGGATTTCTCCCGAAGGCGTGATTAACACTATGCTAAGCCCGGACCCTTTTATGTTGGAAGCTCCGTCCGTAAATAAGTTCGATACCCCGATTTCGATTCTGACACTATTATTGCCTCTTTGGTTGCCGAGGCAGCAATCTCGGACTGAAATCGGCCACAAAGTCAGCCAAGACTTGTGACTTAATCGCAATTCTTAGTTTATATTCTATGTCGAACTCACTCATTTCGATGGACCATTTGGCCAGCCTACTCGAGAGTTCGGGTTTGTGAAGGATGTTCCGCAGAGGAAAAGTGGTCACCACGACTATCGGGTGACATTGGAAGTAGGGCCTCAGCTTCTGGGCGGCGACTACGAGAGCAAAGGCTAGCTTCTCCAAATGCGGGTAGCGAGTTTCTGCTTCCGTAAAATTTTTAGTAACGTAATAAATAGGAGATTGCGTACCTTCGTCCTCACGGACTAAAACTGCACTTACCGCTACTTCTGAGACTGCAAGGTAGACTAACAGTGTTTCACCTTCCTTTGGTTTTGAAAGTAAAGGAGGGCTTAACAAGTACCTTTTCAAATCTCTCAAAGCTTGATGGAATTCCAGTGTCCATTCGGAGTTGTTTTTCTTTTGGAGCAGTGCGAAGAAACTGTGGCATTTTACTGATTATCGGGAAATGAACCTGCTCAAAGATGCCAATCATCCCGTGAGCCTTAGGACTTCTTTCACGCTTGACAACTGAACTGGGATGTCTTCGATGTCCTTGATCTTATTGGGGTTTACCTCAATACCCCTTTGCGATAAAAAAAACCTAGGAACTTGCCAGAGCTGACCCCGAACGCGCATTTCTTGGGGTTAAGTTTCATGTTATGCTTCCTTAGGATGTCAAAAGTTTCTTGCAGATGCTTAAGGTGATAACCTGCATTCTAAGACTTAACGAGCTTATCGTCTATATAAACTTCCATAATTTTCCCTATTTGTTTTTCAAACATCTTATTTACAGCGGCTCCGGCATTCTTTAACCCGAAAGGCATCACATTATAGCAATATGTGCTGAAATTCGTTATGAACGAAGTATTTTCCTGATCTCCGGGTTCATCTTAATTTGGTTGTGCCCGTTATAAGTATCGAGGAAACTTACTAACTTGTGCCCGGCCGTCGCATCGATCATATTATCGATGTTTGGCAGTGGCAACGAGTCTTTGGGCACGCCTTATTCAAGTCCTTATAATCTACACACATGCGAAATTTATTGTTCTTTTAGGAACTACGACTACATAAACTAGCCAGTCTCGATACTTTACCTCTCGGATCAAACCGATATCAAGTAGGCGAGTTACCTCTTCTTTGAAAAATTTATTCCTGGCCTCCGCTATAGGGCGTTTCTTTTGTCTTACCGTAGGTATGTGGGATCCAAACTTAACTTGTGTACGACTACCTTCGCCGGAATACCTGTCATATCTGCATGCGACCACGCAAAACAATCGGTATTAGATTTAAGAAATTCAATAAAGTCAGACCTGAGCTCGGGGTGCAGTCCTGTTCCCAAGTGGAATTTCCTTTCTAAGAATTCTTCAAACAATGCAACTTGCTCGAGTTCTTCCTCCGTGGATTTGGTTGCATCCGTCTCTTCCAGTAACTGGAAATACCTTGGCACCTGATAGGATTCCGACGCTTTTACCCCCGGGATAACTTCATCCGATTCGGGAGCGGGCGCCGGTTCCTGTAGTTGTTTTTCCGCGTGTTTCTTCCCTTTTCTACTAGAGATCGAAATTGCATTCATCTCCCTTGCTGCCGGTTGGTCGCCCCTTTTCTGCTTAACTCCTTCGGGCTTGGAAATTTCAGCAAGTGATGATATGTTAATGGTACAACTCTCATCTCGTGCAACCATGGTCTTCCCAGAATAATATTATATCCCATATCACTATCTACCACTTCAAAAAGAGTCGTTTCATCATTCCTTCAGTGTTCGTGGGCAACAATATCTCTTCTTGGGTTGTCATGCTCGTGAGGTTGAATCTGACGAGGAGTTTTGTGGCCGTAATGATGCTTGAGGTGAGTTTAGCTTGCTCCAATACGTTTAATTTTAAAGTCTAGCACATTTAAAGAAATTACCAATGCGTCATTGTGCGATAGCAGCAATCCGTCTACGTCCTCCTCCGTGAAAGTGATGTCGTTTTCGGCAACTTCCCGGAGTCTTTTTCTATGGGTTATTGATACTTTCGTCTTTTTTGTTGCCGAGAAGGTGACCCCATTTATATCGTTCCCCCCAAAGATCATGTTGATCGTCTAGCATGGGGGATCTTCTCCTGCTTTTGAGGGTTCCGCGTTGTCTCGGTTGCGACCATAGTTGTTCGTAGCCCGGTCACTTAAGAATTCTCTGAGATGACCATTCTTCAACAGTGTCACCACTTCTTCCAGGAGATGGCAGTCCCCAGTCCGGTGTTCATTCGCCCCGTGGTATTCACACCATAAGTTGGGATCCCTCTGACTGGGATCAGATCTCATTGGCTTCGGAAACTGTCTTTTTTTTTTTTTAATGTTTCTCATAGCTGATACCAACTCTATTCACTGACATTGAAATTGTATTCTGATAGCTTGGATTACACCAGTGAAGGTAATATATACGTCGACTTTACCCCTGGTGTAATCCAGGCTATCAAAATACAATTTTAATGTCAACGTAGTAGAGCTGGTATCAGCTATGAGAAACATCAAAGAGGCACAATTTCTGAAGCCAATGAGATCTGATCCCAGTCAGAGGGATCCCAACTTATGGTGTGAATACCACGGGATGAATGGACACCGAACTGGGGATGGAAACATCTCTTGGAAGGAGTGATGAAAATGACTCTTTTTGAAGTGGTAGATGGTGATATGGGATATAATATTATTCTAAGAAGACCATGGTTGTACGAGATGGGAGCTGTACTATCAACGTATCATCAGTTGCTGAAATTTCTAACGCTCGAAGCAGTTAAATAGATAAAGGGCGACCGACCGGCAGCAAGGGAGACGAATGTGATTTTGGTCTGCAGTAGCAAAGGGAAGGAACACGTGACATAGCAACTACAGGGACCGGCGCCCGCTCCCGAATCGGATGAAGTTAGCCTAGGGGTAGAAGTGTCGGAATCCTATCAGGTGCCAAGGTATTTCCAGGTACCGAAAGAAACAGGCAACAAAATCCACGGCGGAAGAACTCGAGAAATTTGCATTGTTTGAAGAATTCTGAGAAAGAAAATTCCACTTGGGGACAAGACTGCACCCCGAGCTCAGGTCTGACTTTATTGAATTTCTTAAATCTAATGCCGATTTTTTGCGTGGTCACTTGCAAATATGACAGGTATCCCGACGGAGGTAGCTGTACACAAGTTAAGTTTGGATCCTAACATACCTCCGGTAAGACAAAAGAAATGCCTTATTGTGGAGGCCAAGAATAAATTCGTCAAAGAACAGGTAACTCGCCTACTTGATATCGGTTCGATCCAAGAGGTAAAGTATCCAGACTAGCTAGTTATTGTAGTCGTAGTTCCTAAGAAGAACAATAAATTTTGAATGTGTGTAGATTATAAGGACTTGAATAAGGCGTTCCCCAAATAGGGAAACTATGGAAATTTATATAGACGATATGCTCGTTAAGTCTTTGAATGCAGGTGATCACCTTAAGAATCTGCAAGAAACTTTTGACGTCCTAAGGAAGCATAACATGAAGCTTAACCCCGAGAAATGCGCGTTCGAGATCAGCTCTGGCAAGTTCCTAGGATTTTTTGTATCGCAAAGGGGGATTGAGGTAAACCCCGATAAGGTCAAGGCCATCGAAGACATCTCGGATCAACTGTCAAGCGGGAAGATTGACAGCTTTGAGCAGGTCCATTTCCCGATCATCAAAAAAATATCACCGTTTCTTCGCACTGCTCAAAAAGAAAAACAACTTCAAATGGACACCGGAATGCCAGCAAGCTTTGAGAGATTTGAAAAGGTACTTGTCAAGCCCTCCATTACTTTCGAAACCAAAGGAAGGTGAAACACTGTTAGTCTACCTCGCAGTCTCAGAAGTAGTGGTAAGTGCAGTTTTAGTCCGTAAGGACGAAGGTACGCAATCTCCCATTTATTACGTTAGTAAAATGTTGATGGGAGCAGATACTCGCTACCGCATTTGGAGAAGCTGGCTTTATCTCTCGTAGTCACCGCCTGGAAGCTGAGGCCCTACTTCAGATGTCACCCGATAGCCGTGGTGACCACTTTTACTCTGTGGAACATCCTTCACAAACCCGAACTCTCGGGTAGGCCGGCCAAATGGTCCATCGAAGTCAGTGAGTTCGACATAGAATATAAGCTAAGGACTGCAATTAAGTCACAAGT